ATGATAGCTCTTTGAGTATTTACCGCGTCTTCCATGACTGACAACGTGTACCCTACGCGAACACTGAGAAGTTATTAACGCACGCCCAGTGAATATTTTGCAGCGGTGTTTGTGACAAGCCTAAGCACGTTTGACCAACTATGCGGTAGGCTTTGGTCAGCCGTTGCAGTGATAGAACAAAATTCCAAGAACTTTGTAAACACCCCTCGTAAAATAAAAATCCAACAAAAAGAGGGGAGGGGAATCTAGGAGGCTATTCGTTTATCGCTAATTTTCGCATTCGTTCGGGCACGAACTGAATTCGCACATGAAATACGTGTTGCTAGATGGAAGGATCACTCCATTCCCATCTCCGTTCGTCTCTGCTGGATTTGCTGGTTCCGTTTGCTGAGCCGTTGCGGTGATGATCGGAGGTACTGTTTCACGCTTCGCCTCACAGGTTCATCCCTCAAGAGCGGCTTCTCTTATTACTAATTAATAACTTATTTTGCGAAGGCGAGCGTATTCTGATGTTAGGGAATTCAGGGGATGCAGCACCTTCTTCCCGAGAAAGTTCTTTCATCTTCGTGCTCCAAAATGCCTGCGGAAATTCCAGGAATTCGGTAAGGAAGTAATTATGAAGCCAGGACTGTCTTTCCCCTGGTCATTCCCTTAAGTTGAATAGTCCGCAACGTCGAAAACTTGCGTACTTGCTGAGAGTGTAACCAAAATTTCTCAGGAGTCCTTGTATGAGCCGGCGTCTCTCCTTGGCAGAAGGCGGTTCGTATTTGCATGCCTGTCGCCGTTCTCACACACTTGACCCAGTCGACGGCTCGTCTGCCAGTCGGGGTTGAGATGCCCAGCTCGATCTCAGACTGTTCGGCTACGATGGGGCAAGTAAGCATCCTCATCTTCAGTGTGGTTAGTCGGTCTTCGCATCGCGGACGATGATGGAGTTACGGTAGGACCCTGCTGAAAAAACCTCACTACAACCTCATGATGTCTCATGAGACCTCACGACTTTCTCATGACGTTGTCCGAATATCTCATGATGTAATCCTCATGAGGTACTTCACGAGGTCTCAAGACTTTCTCATGAGGATTGTGTGGTTCCACATGAGGCTTTTTATGATATGGAAGAAATAGGTCTAACTTCGCCTTAGAACAGGTTAAATGGAACTATATGTGCCAGTCAAGAGTTACCATGAAATTGCCCTTTTATTTAGTCTTCTTCGGCAAAATGCCCAGGAGATGATGTGTTCTCAATTGTAACACCAGGTGCGGAACATATAAAGAAAATCTCCACCTTTTTGCGATTCCAAAATTTCGCAAAATGCAAATTCTGCATTCTTGGCAGTGATTTGACCTCCCTCCTCTTGAGGTGTTCAAACCACAGAACTTCATTATTTGTAAAGGTAATTCATTTTCATGTCATGGGCCGAATTCATTTTTTCACGAGACAGCTCAATGATACGAGAGCAACAAAACAGAACTGCTAATGAAGAAAACTGGCGTATAGTGCATCCGTTCGAATCGCGGGTTGTCGGATCTATGCAGCACCGGCCTAATGAGGGTGAGAAGTGGGAAGCGTCAATCAAATCGGCCACCCCCGAACCCAAGGCGACTCGGCCCCTTTTTTGAGGGGGGAAGGAGATCAATGAATGTATGAGGAAAGGTATTTTTAGACTTTCAGGGAGTAGAGAGTTGAAAGTAGTGGAAGCTCCCCCACTGGTTTCCTTCTTCACTCCCCCTCTCCTCTCATTTATCATCGAGTTTCCCCTTTGGTCCTAGTGCCACCAGTGTCTTTTTTCACGCTTATCTCTCTCGACCCGCGATTCGAACGGATGGACTATAACCAACACATCAGGAGGCCTAAATTTTCCCATTCGTGCAATTTTATGATCATGGTATATATTTACTAGTATAGTGATTTTACCATGGCATATCATTTCTATTAATTATCGACTTCAAAAATAAATAATAGCTTCATTGGATTTTTTTCTCTCTGTTGATTTTTGGGGGATATATGTAGCAGTGGTCACACCTTAGAAACGGATTATTTATTGGATGGCAAGGCCTAGCTGGAGCATGGAAAACGAGCACCTCCCAACAACTTACAAAGCAGCGTAAATCCTCTCTCCTGAAGAACAGGAGATAATTCCTTAAATAAACATTCAGTATTTGAATAGAAATGAGAGGGACCAACGAGGAAAACCTAGCGCTTGCATATGCGTTGGACATTGACTAATCCATGAATTGGCATAGTAACGGGTAAAGTGTTTTCGCGTTCGTCAGACACTTATTCATTTGCCTCGAAATTCTCGGGAGTCAAGTGAAAAACATTGTATTTTATAAATTCTTCCATTCTATATAATATGTAGTAGAGAAGATTGCGATGAGAGAAAGACTCACATTGAAGGTGATCCTTCAGCTAGATCTCATCCTTATTGATTAGTGTCCCTGGATTTCCGCTTACTCTGTAAGTTTATTAAGCATCTTCAGCACATTTTGCAGGCAAATTCGCATTTTTATTATGATCGACTGTGATCAGATCTAAAGAACAAGAACCACTCGAGAGATGGGGAAGGAACTCGGCGAGAATAAGGGAATAACAATATGTCATCAGGATTTGGGTCCTTGCAGAAGATTGAGGGAGCCAGTTAAGACATTAAACTTGTTTCCTTGCCACATTTTTTAGTGCCATTTGACTTCATTTTGAAAGTACTTTCAATGATCAATGTTTGGTTAAAATAGGGAATCATCACTTGGGTAGTGTCCCTTGTTAGTATCGGACGAGGTTTTTCCCTGTTTCTTTTTTTTACACTACACTTATCACTTCTTTTTTTTTTAGTAGCCACTTAAAAGAGGCTACAGGATGAGGCCTCTGCACGCACCATATGACCCCACGCATGCATCTGTCGGCACGCCACTACCTTTAGCGATAGAACTTATCAACTCATCCTTAACTCTCATTCATCTCTATGACTGCTCTCGCGAGTGGAACATGCAGGGGAGGGTGGAGCACCTTGGGTCACTTTTTTTGTGTGCCTGCAACTCAAGCATTTTTATTCCTCTGAAGCAATGAAAGGTCCTGCTTTTAAAGACTCGCATCACCTGCGCAATCCCATGTTTTAAAGTAGTCAAGCTACAAGTTTCGTGCGATAAAGTCGTATTTTAAAATGGAGCACCATGGGTCGGCACGGTGCACCATGGGTCAATGTCCGGGGTATGCTGGGTCATCCCCATAAACATCGCTAAAATGAAGTTCAGTTAACCCAAAGTCATCACGCAAAGAAGTATTTGCACAGCAGTAGGAGAAACTATTGGATACAGATGCACTTCACCAAATTCACATAGAAAAATTTGGAACCTTTAATCGGAAAATAATATACGATTCGTTTCACGTCCAGGAATACGTCATCTGTTGGCGTTGAACCCTTCAGAGTCTTCCGCTTCCAATTGCGCGTTATTAGATAGAGAAAGGACTGCAAAGGAAATTGCAACTATCAGGAAACATTTGGCGCAGAGTTACGTGCTATTGCGTCCCAAATAGAGTGACCCATCGCATCCCAACAGGAGCCATTGAAAATAAATCTACATTATAACCAGAGTAATTTGAGATTTAGCTCATGTGCAGGCATTGAACTACCGATCTCCCGAAACCAATTCAAGCAAAAATATTTTTTTTTTATCAAAGAAACAAATAGCAAATATCGAGACGTCACTGCAACAAAAAAACGAAAGAAGCGTCTCCTACAGAAAAACATTCACAAAATTTGCACTTTTGGAGGGGACTATTCTTTTTTCAACTTCACTTTCCTGACACCTAAGCCGGAAGATACGTAGCAGACGACATGAAGTACTAATAAATACGCCTATTTCATACTCAAAACACCAATAACGACTTCGCATGGTGCTAGCCCTTACGAGAACTCCATATTCAGATTTCATGCGGATTATCATATACAGGGGTGCTTAGCTCGGAATGTACATGGTACAAATAAAAATTACATATGGGAGACTGTATTTGGAAGCCGTTAAGACCATATATCATGTTTTGGCCATTCTTAATGAATATGGAACTATACGTGGTTCATATATAAGCCCCTTATATGGGGCTTAGCTGCAATGTATATGGCACATATAACACTTTGGCATGTTTTGGTCCTATTCAATTTATTGGATACATGTAACTATATATTATTATATACAAGTCCCTTATACGGTACTTAATTTGCAATATAGATGGTCCCCGCATGCATTATTAACGGAAGTTGAGGTAGAGGCTTAAAGGCAGTCACTCAATATCGAAACTTTGTCAGGTGTTTTTGTGACTCACCTCACAAAGGGAACTTCACTTCCTCCATGCATTGAGCAAGAATTACCTGGAGTCTCCTTAAGCTAGGTTACGTTTCTCAAAACATATACATCGATTAGAACGACTTCCTTCCTTCGATTTGTACTTGGGAAATGATCGAGTCGAGAGTGAAAGATTCTGCGGAACCATTCATTAACAATTGGGGATTCAGGAGACATACAGCGGCGGGATGAGCGCGACCACGCTTATCTTGTAAAAACTTCATGTTTATTGAACGAACTGCTAGATGTCATGCCATATGGAAGGCCTCAACGTGCATGCTTATGCATCCATGGACATTACATGGACTGAACAGTTTCAAAATACAGTATTTTTCCTGTATAGTTTACATTAGTGTCATACACATTGCAAACCTAGCACCATATATGGGGGTCTGTATATGAACCATATATAATTCCATATTTATTAAGAATGGCCAAAACATGATACGGACTGAAATGTTTCTAAACATGGATAAATTCAGTACTGTACGATCCTGTACATACGCTTGTATTTAGAAGTTCCGTAAGGGAGGCCATGCATAACAAGCATAAAAACAAAAATTTTACTGCCCAGTTTAAAATCCCGGCTGGAAACAGCTATATTTTCCAGCTGGTCACCAGCTGGAAATCAGTCTGATCACATCAGGGGGGGAAAAGATCTATCCATCCCGGTAGTAGATGGGTTTGGCCAGCTGGAATTCATCTTGAAAACGGATATCATTTCCAGCTGGCAACCTGTAGGAGAGTAGATGTGCTTGACCATCTATTGGGTTGGAAAGAAAGTCTTGCAACACTTTCTAAAACTATTTATGAAAATTTTCAAAGGAATGATGGGCGGGGCTTTGCATTTGTATATGCTGGAATGTTTTGGAAACTTCTCCCCTCGGGGTATATAAGGCGGCTTCTGCCATTAGTTGGCAGCCATGGCTCCGATCGAACAAGCAACTCTTCGCCCCATCGTCTACTACGAGTTCCTCCAAGGACACTCTGCGAGAGCCGCCGCGGACATCTGCGCTGCATTCGAGGGCAACGTCGTCCACTATTCCACAGTGTCTCGATGGTTCAAACGCTTGAAATCTAGCGGCACGACCTTCGG